GGAGAGAGAGAGAGAGGTAGAGTCTTGTCCCCCCCCCTTGTTCTCCGAGGGTAGGGGCTATTGCTGGGCGGGAAGAGGGCACCAGAGCGGGCGAGGCGGGGTCGCACCCCCTAGATTTTGTAGTTATCTGCTGGTTGTGCAAGCTTTTGGCCCTTGTTTTCCCTGCCTGGCTCGTTTGGAGGCCGGACACATCCACCCTTGGAATTGGTTCAGGACTCTGCTGTTATTCTCCTTGCCCCTCTTGGATTTTCTGGATTCTTGAAGACGCGGTGGCCTGGGAGGAGAGAGGAAGGAGGAAGGAACAGATCTTCAGAGGAATGTGAGAGCCTCCCAAAGCCGGAGCTGCTAGAAGGAGCTGGGAGCTGGGAGCTGGGGAGGCAGAAACTAGTCTCCGATCCTGGGACCTTGTTCCGGGGCCGATTCTTTTCTGTTGTACAACATTGTTCTAGTGGAAAGTGTCTGTCGCTTTGGATTCTTGTTCTAGCAGAGCTGTTTTCTTCAGGTCATTTGGCTTTTCTACTTGATGTGAGAGGAGGGAGAGACTCCCTCCTTCTCAGGGGCTGCCAAGGGAGAAAAGAAAAACTGTGGTCATGACCAATCTCTCCCTGCTTACAGGCAGATACCCCAAGACTGGATAAGTCAGTTTCTGGACCATGAACATTTCTTTGAAGAGAAGGCAGCTAGACAGTTTATGCTGAGACCCTGCCTGGGGGTCTGAGTAAGGTATAATAGACTTTGAGCTGCAAGTACACTTTTGGGCACCCTGCTGAGCATCCTGGGTCTGGGCAAGGCATTTCCCTTCCAGTCTTGACCAGGTAGCCTAGCCATGGCACTGAAAGGCCGAGCCCTCTATGATTTCCACAGTGAGAACAAAGAGGAAATCAGCATCCAGCAGAATGAAGACCTGGTTATCTTCAGTGAGACCTCACTGGACGGCTGGCTGCAGGGGCAGAACAGCCGTGGGGAGACAGGGCTCTTCCCTGCTTCTTATGTTGAGATTGTCCGTCCTGGCATCACCACCAACTATGTGGACTACCCTAGCAGCCTTGCAGGCTCCCTGAGTACCCAAGTGAGTTTGTATAACAGCTCTAGTATGGCCAACCCAGCCAGGAGTGGTGAGGGCAGTGGCTTCCTCTCAAACCAAGGAAGCTTTGAGGATGATGATGATGATGACTGGGATGACTGGGATGATGGATGCACAGTGGTAGAAGAGCCAAGGGCTGGTGGCCTAGGTACCAATGGGCACCCTCCACTCAACCTCTCCTACCCGGGTGCCTACCCCAGTCAGCATATGGCTTTCCGACCCAAGGCACCCTTGGAAAGGCAGGACAGTCTGTCATCTGCCAAGCGGGGCAGTGTGGTGGGACGAAACCTTAATCGTTTCTCATGCTTCGTGCGCTCTGGGGTGGAGGCCTTCATCCTTGGTGATGTGCCCATGATGGCCAAGATTGCTGAGACATACTCCATTGAGATGGGCCCTAGGGGCCCTCAATGGAAGGCCAACCCCCACCCATTTGCCTGCTCTGTAGAGGACCCCACCAAACAGACCAAGTTCAAAGGCATCAAAAGTTATATTTCCTACAAGCTTACACCCACCCATGCTGGCTCACCTGTTTACCGGCGCTACAAACACTTCGACTGGCTCTACAACCGCCTTCTACACAAGTTCACTGTCATCTCGGTGCCCCATCTGCCTGAGAAACAGGCCACTGGCCGCTTTGAGGAGGACTTCATTGAGAAACGCAAGCGACGACTCATCCTCTGGATGGACCACATGACTAGCCACCCAGTGCTCTCTCAGTATGAGGGCTTCCAGCATTTCCTCAGCTGCCTAGATGACAAACAGTGGAAGATGGGTAAACGCCGGGCAGAGAAGGATGAGATGGTGGGTGCCAGCTTTCTTCTCACCTTCCAAATCCCCACAGAGCACCAGGATCTGCAGGATGTAGAGGACCGTGTGGATACATTCAAGGCTTTCAGTAAGAAGATGGATGACAGTGTTCTGCAGCTTAGCACTGTAGCATCAGAGCTGGTGCGGAAGCATGTGGGAGGCTTCCGCAAGGAATTCCAGAAACTAGGAAGTGCCTTCCAGGCCATTAGCCATGCCTTCCAGATGGATCCTCCCTTTAGCTCTGAGGCCCTCAACAATGCCATTTCTCACACCGGCCGGACCTATGAAACTGTTGGTGAGATGTTCGCTGAACAGCCCAAGAATGATCTCTTCCAAATGCTTGACACACTGTCTCTCTACCAGGGCCTGCTCTCCAACTTCCCTGACATTATCCACCTGCAAAAAGGTAAGCCCTTCCTAAGTGTGGTGTTCTGCTGTATGGTGACAGCCTGTATGATGACAATAGCTCATCACATTTTCCTGTCTCCATCTCTATTGCAGGCTCAACAAATGTATTGAGATGATTCTGTAGAGAGTGCTGTTGTAGGCAGAGGGATATTGTGGACAGGTTTGGTCTTTGTTCTCACTGAACTTGTGTATACCATGCTGGCCACTCTGGTTTTTCTGTGTTTCATCTGCTCCATCACGCATGGAACCACAGGTACAACAACCCTGGGTTCTGGGAACACAGAGATAACCAGATCCCAGATTGTGCCTTATATGAACCCCTGGTTCAAGGGGAATCAAGACACAGACACAGGTTGCCTTACCCTCTCATAGGCTCAGCTCCTACCTTTGAGGCATTTGAGCCTAGGCCCTCCCTCTACCCTGTCTGCTAGTCTCTCTGTGCAGGAGATCTCTGTCCTCATTTTGCAGATAAGTCTGTGTCCACAGCACAGTGGTTGTGGCTCACATGGGACTATCCCTTCCTCCCTCCAGCTCCCCAAGGACATATCCATATTGGCTGCCTCCCAGGCCCATCATGTTTTCACTTCTCATGGCCCCCTGTGTGGAGGAGGGACAGGATGAGCCCCTGCCTGTTGCTGCTGTTAAGGAACTGCCAGCGAAGTGACTCATCCTGGGTCACATGGAGCACTAAGCTGGGCACAGGGGAATAGAACCAGAGTTCCAGGGCTCTGGTCACATGGGCCAGTGTATCTTCCCTTCCCAAGCTGGGCTTCTCTTGCATAAGAATTGAGTCAGGGGCTGACCTAACAGGTGACTTAGTCCAGACTTAGGGAAGGCAGAGTCAAGAGAGAGGTGTGGTCCTCCCTGGGGCTGGTAACTCAGGAAGAATATATCAGGGCGTGTGGCAGCTCCCAGTACCCTAGGCCCTGAGGTCAAGGAGTTTTACTCTGGGCAACCCCTCTGGTTTGAGTGTAGGGAAAAGCAAATGTTACCTCTGCCCTCAGGCCCCTGTCCTAATCATGATGGTGGCTGTCAGAACTCTGTCTGGCAGCCCTCATCACCTTCTCCTTTACCTCTTTTGTTTGCTGAACCCTCACATCTCCACCTACTTTCTTTCCCTTTCAGCCCCAGGGAATCAAAGCTTGAGTTCTAGCCTGGCTTGACACCCAGTTTTCCTTGTGTCCCTGATTGGGAAAGGCCTTTGCCTTCCTGGACCTTAGTTTCTTAGGCCTTTCAGGTAGAGACTTCTGGGGAAAGCCTGCCCTGTGCCTCAGGCTGGTCCCATAGATCTTCCTTTGCACTCAGAGAGGGGGCCCAGCCTGGCAGGAGCAGACGCCTCCCGCCTCCCTGTGCGGAAGTGGAGCCACACACCGTGCTGGGCCTGGGAAAGCTGGTTCAACCAGCTCCTTGGATGACATGTTTTTGTGTGGGCAGCAAGAGGCTGGGCACAATGATTAAACAGCTATCCCAACACAGTCGCTGGAGACTCTCACTTAGGGCAGAGTTGGGGCAAGAGAGACAATCACAGGTTCACACACTGAGTGTCCCAGACTCTCACCAAAGAAGGGGAAAAAAACCTACATTGTCCTTTCTACCTCAGACAGTTAAGAGAAGCCATGTCTCAGTCTCCACTTGAGATGTTTCCTAGAGTCAGGGGCTTCTGCCTTCTGGGGAAACCGGGCAGCCTGAAGCAGATGCTGCCAGAGGTCATTACCCTGTATCGGCCCCCTGCAGTGCAAGCCCTGCTTACTCTAGGTTCTAAGTTCTAGCCTGAGTCTAGAGTGAGTCTGAGAGGAGGGCTTGGAGTTGATCTAAGAGACAGAACTGAGCAGGCTTTGGAAACTGCAGGGGGAGAACATCCTGTACTAGCCTTGTAGATAGAGACTTTTCTCAGAGAAAGTAACAGGATGTTTGGTCCTGCTGCACAGGATTCTATCTGTCCCATCTAGACGTTTGAACAAATTGTGAGCATGTGAGAGAACAGTTGGGGGAGGCCCAGCCAGGCCGGGGAGGCAGGAAACAGGGCCAGTGGCTGGTATGGTCCCTTCAGCACTGAGGTGATTTGACGGCAGAGTAGGTATAGGGCCAAGTATGTTGGAATCTACTGCATCAGGCAGATGGAGGAGGGAACTTCCCAAGGGCTGGTTAATTGGGTTTGATGGTACAGAAGGGAAAGGAGGAAGGAAGGAGGCTTGGACTTCATAGTCTAGGACCACCTCAGTTGGTATGCTTGTGTTCCTGAGGCAGGTCTGGGACTACAGAGCATCCTTGGGGGACCTTGGAGCTTGTGGCTTACCTAAAGCAGGGCAGTTCCTGTAGGTACAAGCTCCTGACAAGGGGACAGATAGGTTCAGCCTTATAGAATTCTTTCTTCACCTCAGCAGTGATTGCTGCTGCTCTGCTCCTTTAGCTTTGCTGTTGATCATATGTATCGCCATGTGTCTGTGTTTGGAGCTGTATATGTGAACATGAGTGAGGGTACCCACAGAGGCCCAAAGAGGGTGCATCTCCTAGAGTTGGAGTTACAGATACTTGTGAGCTGCCAACTACACTCTGGCCCTTTGCAAGAGCAACAAGTATGTTTAACCATCTTTCCAGTTCCAATAGCAGCAGTTGCTCCTCTTTCTTCTTTTTTGAAACAGGGTCTTTCTTTGTACCCCAGGCTAGTCTTTTTTTTTTTTTTTAAAGATTTTATTTATTATGTATACAACATTCTGCTTCCATGTATATCTGCACACCAGAAGAGGACACCAGATCTTATTACAGATGGCTGTGAGCCACCCAGGCTAGTCTTAACTCTTGTTTGTGTTTTGTTTGAGACAGAGTTTCTCTGTGTAGCCCTGGCTGTCCTGGAACTCAATCCGTAGACCAGCCTGGTCTCGAACTCACAGAGACCCCCCTGCCTCTGCCTCGGAGTGCTGTGATTAAAGGTGTGCACCATCACTGCCTTGCCTCAAACTCTTGATTGTCCTGTTTCAGTCTACTAAGTGCTAGAACAACAGGCATGTTCTACTGTTCTTGATCTGCCTAAGCTATTTTAATTTTTTAAATATTTTATTAATTCTTTGAGAATTTTATGCAGTATAATTTGATCATATTCACCCCTCTCTCTTTCTTCTAATTCTTCCCAGATGCATTCACCTCCCTACTCCCCATTTATGTATGTATGTATGTATGTATGTATGTATTTGATACAAGGTCTTATTAGATAGCCATAGCTAGCCTGGAACTCTCTATGTAGACCAGGCTGGTCTCAAATTCTGTCTCCCAAGAACTGGGATTAAAGGCATGTACCACCATCCCTTATTATTTTTTTAAATAATAAATTGAACTTACTGAGCTCAATTTGAGCTGTTCATATACTCATGCTAGGTGTGGGTGTGAGGCCATCCACATCCACTACAACATAGGTAGCCCACTTATTTTGTTTTTTTGAGAAAGATTCCCATATAGCTGAGGTAGGCCTCAAACTGGATCTTGCTATATGGCCTAAGATGACCTTGAATTTCTGAGATCCTCTTGTTCTAGGATTAGAACAGGATTCTAATCTACCTTTCAAGTACTAGGATTATAGATGTATGTTATCCCACCCAGCCCTCATATCCTGTTTTGTTTTGTTTGAGACAGAGTCTCATTACATAGCCTTGGCTGGCCTGGAACTTGACCTGGCCTTCAACTCATAGACACCTGCCTGCCTCTGCCTCCTGAGTGCTAGAACAAAAGGTGTGTGTTATCATACCTTCTAAGCTTTTATGACAGACAATTGTGTTGCCATGAGTCACCATGGGCAGGTCATTGCTGTGAGTCTTTGGATAGAAAAACAGTTTGCAGCCTGGGGAGATGGCTCAATGGGTAAATCCTACCCAAAAGCCAGGCTCAGTTAAACGTAGTGTTTCTTTGGTGCAAAGGAAAGTAAAGATGGGGTGGTGGTGGTGGTGGTGGGTGGATGGATGGATGGATGGATATCACCCAGAAGTTTGTGCTTGGCATATACAGCATTGAACAACAAAGAACACACTCTGTCTTAAGCAGAGTAGAAGGTGATGACTGACACCCAAGATTGCCCTCTGACTGCCACATGTGTATGGTGGTGCATGCATTCCTGCACCCACACGAACATGCATGCATACAAAAATGCATAAACACATATGTCACACACACATACATACACACATACTTGGAGGCAGTTTACACACCAAAGCATAAAAAGCATTCTGAGTCCTCATTTATGGCAGGTTCAGGCTTTGGCATTTTGTGTATATTAGTTCAGTTAATCCTCAGTTACCATAGAGCTAGTGCTGTTATCGTCCCTTTTTACAGATGTGGAAACTTGTAAGGCACTTGGTTGTTATGAGCAGGCTTCAGCAGCATCACATCTGCTACCATCTGTCCCTTTTAACAGAGGAGACACGTGCAGTCCAGCAAAGCAGTGGTTTTCTGGAGTTGTAACAGCTGGTTCTAAGACTCAGACCTCCTGCCCCCAAATTTAGAGCAGGTAGCTTTAAGAGGGGGAGGGTTAGTAATATGCCTGGGGCTCTGGGGGCTCTGCAGCTGATAGGCTATAAGTCCTCACTCCTCATTCCAGGGATCTAGTGTGCCAGGACAGGAGGCAACCCTGAGGGAATCTCAAACTGAGTCCTAAGAATGTAGAAGTGTTCTTGACAGGCATAATCCAGCCTGTTCTGGTGGGACTCCTTAGCTGTCACTCACTGGTCTCTGTCCCAGACTGAGTCACCAAGTGGGGAAATGATGGTGTCTTAGTTACCTTTCTATTGCTGTAAAGAGACACCACGACCAAGACAACTTATAAAAGAATTTACTGGGGCTCACAGTTTCAGAGGGTTAGAGGTCATGATCGTCTTGGGGGACAGCAAGGCAGCAGGTGGCCAGGCATAGTGCTGGAGCAGCAGCTGAGACTTTGCATCTCATCCGTAGACATGAGGAAGAGAGAGTGTGCATTAACTGGGAATCTGGACTTCTGAAACCTCAATGCCCACCCACATGACACACGTCCTGCAATGAGGCCACACCTCCTAATCCTTCCCAAACAGTTCTACCAACTGAAGAAGCCCCAGATGGGGGCCATTCTCATTCAAACTACCACAGATGGAGAGCACAGTTGTGGCCTCTGCCTCTCTCCCCCCTTTCTGAAACCTTTGCCCCCAGCTCTGTCTGTTTCTGAATACCTAGTGATTGCAGTAGGCTCAGTCTTGCCACTGGGACTTTTATCTCATCAACAAAAGGGGCTTTAATCTTCCATCAAGGCCATGGGCATAAAAATCTTTATTTGCTGGGCATAGTGGTGCAGGCCTTTAATCTCAGCACTTGGGAGACAGAGGCAGGTGGATCTCTGTGAGTTGGAGGCTAGCCTGGGGTACAAAGCAAGTTCCAGGAGAGCCAGGGCTACACAGAGAAATTCTGTCTCAAAAAAACAAACAAAAAAAAAAAACAAAAACAAAAACAAAAATAAATCTTTAAAAAATCTATTTAACTTACTTTATGTGTGTGGGTGTTTTGCCTGCAAATATGTCCTGCCACCTTTGTGTGGCTCACAACCAGCTATAACTCCAGTTCCAGGGGATCTGATGCCCTCTTCTAGCTTCCAACGGCACCAGGCACACACATGATCCACAGGCACACATGCAGGCAAACATTCATACACATAAAATAATAAAATAAACTTTAATAGAACTAAAGAAGGGCTGAAGAAATGACTCAATGGCTGAAAGTGTGTGCTGCTGTTACAGAGTAGCCAAGTTCAGTTCTCAGCACCCATGTCAGGCAGCTCACTACTGCTTGTAACTCCAGAGGGTGGGGACACTCCAGAGGGAGCTGATGTCCTCCATTGCCACTCCCATGCACACACTGTTCCCCAGCATACAGATAATTGAGAATGAAATCAATCTTTTTTAAAAAGTCAACAGAAGGAAAAGTGTGAGGGCTCCCTTGTACTGGGGACTCCCTTTTGTCCTTTGAAAGTGAGTGCCAGGCATGAACACACTACCTCCTCTTCTTAACTGGCTTAAAGGCAAAGTTAGTCACCTGCCTTTTATTCAAAACTGAATTCATGAACTATTTGTTGATTCAGTCCAATTCTTCCAGACTAAGGCCCCTGCCCATGTTTATCTCTTGCTATCACCGTCTGTCACCTGTTGATTATCAGTCTCCTCTGGTTCTACGGGGACAGGGCTGAGAAGTGGGCAGGGCTTGTATATAAGGGAAGGCATACCAGGTGGCCTTACCAACCGTATGCTAGCAGGCTGGGGACAGGTGCATTGGGAGGCATTCTGCCTGGGGCACTGAGGAGACTTTGGTGTAGAAGTAGAACCTGATCTAGGCCTTGAATTATGAATAGAGATCCAGCAGGCAGGGGTAAGATAGGAAAGAGCTGGGAGGGTTGGATGGACATGGTGTCACTGTGGAAGTCACATGTACAAGAGGCAGGGCAATGGGTGTGGACTGTCATTCTGCAGGCAGTGAAGAGCCAGGCGTGTCATCCAGTTTAGGGAACATCTTTGGATACTAGGAGATAGACTCTCAAATGAAGGAGATGTCATTGTTATAGCAGTCTGGGAATGAGATGAGTCAGTTCAGCAGACGTGTCCACAGCTGCCTGGACCAGACCTTGAGGGACCTGGGGAACAGAGGAACATGACAGTCCCTGAACTCACTCAGCTCACAACTCAGGGGAAGCCAGCCAGCCAGAGTGTGACAGCTAGGATACAAGATGTTGGGAAGCCTCAGACATCATAGGGTACACAGAGGCTTTCTTGGAAGAGAAAGGCCAAAGCTAAAATAGGAAACAGTGGGGCCTATGATGTCCTGATGGAGACAGTCAGGTGGCTTCAGGAGGAAGTTGGGGCGGAGCCATTTGGGGTGTCATTCACCTTTGTGAGACTAGAGGGATGTACAGGGAGTGAGTAGGGTAGGTTTAAGCCCTCACCTGCCTGTCCTGCGCTCTATCCTGCCAGGTGCTTTTGCCAAAGTGAAGGAAAGCCAGCGCATGAGTGATGAGGGCCGCATGGCTCAGGAAGAGGCAGACGGCATTCGCAGGCGCTGCCGTGTGGTAGGCTTCGCCCTGCAGGCTGAGATGAACCACTTCCACCAGCGCCGTGAGCTTGACTTCAAGCATATGATGCAAAGCTACCTGCGCCAGCAGATTCTCTTCTACCAGCAGGTGGGCCAGCAACTGGAGAAGACCCTTCGCATGTACGACCATCTCTGACCAACTGTGGCCACATATGCAAGGCCTCTCCCATCTGGACCTGGTCACTGCAGTCCACCCCACTCCAGGCCTCCCAGCCACTAGCAGTGGCTCAGGTGCTCAGGAGTGGATGAGGTGAGTGAGTGGCTTGTTAAAAGTCCTGGTACCCCTGGAGAAGTCTTCCCTCGCTTTAGAGATGGGTGAATAGAGATAGTTCTCTGAGCCAAAGCCTGGGCTGCTGGTCAGTCCCTAGAGAGCAGGCTTCTCTGGAGCCTATAGTGCACGCTCACCTGGCCACCACATCCTGTTTATTCCCTGGACTCCACTGACTGCTGTGGCCATGGCTGAGACATTGATGACCAAGTTTGGAACATGCCTGTCCTGGAAGAGCCACCTTTCAAGATGGATATCAGATAATGCAGTATGGCAGTGACACTTAAGGATTCATGGAAACTCCTTGAAGGAGCACAGAATTCTGCTGGTCAGGGGACACTACACGGAGTAGGTAACATTCCAGAAATATCTTGAAGAATTACAAGGACCTACAAGACAGTAAATGGAGTGAAAGACATTTTGGGGAGAGGGCCGTTGTCTCTCCTCTTCCTTACCTTTCCCAACCAAATTTGGTGTCCTCTTCATGGGTTCTGATCTTTATGACAGAGGGAGGGATCATCCTTGCTCCATGGTCCCTGGCTTTCCCTGCCCTACCCATCCTTCTGCAGGAGGGACTGCCGGCCAACTCCCTCCTATAGGTCTTGGACTCCCCTCTACTGTGGTTGGGGACACCCCCCCCCCCACACACACACACTTCTTTGATTAAGGGACTATGCAGCAAATTTCCCTTCTCTGGGCTCAAGGTGCTCAAGCCATGAAGCACTGGGCCCCAGTGTTGCCCTTCTGGAGGAGCCCTCAAAAGTTACCAGTAGTAACTCCCCATTCTAGCAAGTCCAGGTCCTGAGCTCCCAGGCACCTTTGCTTCTGTGGGCTGGTCTTCTCAAATCCTTCTCATTGCACAGTGGGAAATCTGAGAGAAAGAAACCCGGAACTTTAGACCCTCTGCTCCCGGCCAGACTCATGGTCTAGTTGTGCCACTACCGACTATGTTTACATTCTCCAGGAGGTACTGCCCCTTTACCCTTCAGGCCAGGATGTGGCCAGCAGCATGTTGTTGGGAAGTGACCTTGTCCCCCTTGCCTTCCTGGGAAGCCATGGTCTGCTCCTGGGTCCTGCTGCTTGACTCTTTTTTCTTGATAAACCTTTTACAATACTGTAACAGAAGCATGGCCTTTTTTTTTTTGAATCCTAGAAGTTGTGAGAGTTGGGGAGAACAGAATCCAAACTGCCCCACTGGACTGGATTCAATGTTCTTGGTGGGCCTAAAAATTAATTCATAACTTCAAAACATAGGAGCAAAGCTATTCTAGTCAGAGGCAGTAGAAGGCTCCATACCCCTAGCTGGTTACATGGGCCTCCTCATTGTTTGCCTGTGCCTTAGTGTGTGTGTGTGTGTGTGTGTGTGTGTGTGTGTGTGTGTGTGTTCGGGGGTGGTACTCATGGAGGTCAGAGATCAATGTTGGGTGTCTTCAGTTGCTTTCTACTTTATTTTTGAGCTTCTCATTGGTCTGAAACTTACTAATTGGGCTAGGCTGGCTGGCCAGTGTACAGGGATCCTCCTGTCTCTGTCTCTCCAGTGCTGGAATTACAGGCAAACAGCATGTATGTATAGTCTTGGCTGGCCTGGAAATTATAGATTTACCTGCCTCTGCCTGCCAGTGCTGTGATTAAAGACATGTGCAGTCATGTCTGAGTTCTGTTTTTTGTTTGTTTGTTTGTTTGTTTTAAGATTTATTTATTTATCATGTATACAGTGTGTGCCAGAAGAGGGCACCAGATCCCATTACAAATGGTTGTGAGTCACCATGTGGTTGCTGGGAATTGAACCTAGGACCTCTGGAAGAACAAATCAGTGCTCTTAACCACTGAGCCACCTCTCCAGCCCCAAGTTCTGGTTTTTTACTTATGTAGATGGTAGAGATTTGAACTCATGTCCTTACACTTATGCTATAAGCACTTTACTGACTGAGCCATATTGCTAGCCGCCCCTTTGTCTCCAAAATGGGTGAAGTCCTGTACAGGGTTTCAGGTGTTACAGTCTTTGTGCTGAGGACTGTAAGAGAGTGTGAGACTGTGCCCAGCATAGTCCCAGGTGATGCCTGCCCTAAGGAGCTGTCCCTAGAAAGCTCCAGTCCCATCAGTCTTGGGTGCCCAGCCCTGCAGTGGTTCCCATTTTAGAACTTAAAGGAGTCATCTCCATACCCTTGGGAGTGCCCTGGTGACTGAGAAGAATTCTTTCTCATATGGAAAGAGCAGATGAGCTGTTTCTCTTTCAGAGGCAGTAGGGATTTTCCAGGGTCAGGTTCACTAGGGAGAGTTTTGGTCAGATCAGAGTCTGAGGAGCTCGTGGCAGGGGGTAAGGAATGGGCCTCATTTAGGCCATAGTGTCCTTAAAGGAACTTTTGGAATGGAGGCCCTTGGCTCTGGGTCAAAATTAGGGACTTTCTGAGGAATTCTCCCCTCCCTGCCTGCCTTCGTTTTTCCCACTAATGAAGGAACTAACTTCTTGTTTGTAGCCTCTTCTCAGCTTTGACCTCCATGTAGTTTTCTGTAGAGAAGGCTGTGAGCATAGGTGGGGGTAGGGCTCCTTCCTGAGGCCCTCTGGAATGTTCCTCTTAACCCGTGATGCCTGGAAAGCCCCCTGCTAACACTTCCTGCCCTAAGGAATAGCATTGCCCTCCTGTGTCCCTCTGCTGAGAAGGAACCACCTCCTATTCCTATAATAATGACAGTGGGTTTTCAAAGGGCCTAGGAGAAGAATCAGAAAGTGAAAACTAGAAGCCAGGCATAGTGGCACACACCTTTAATCCCAGCAGATGCGGGTGGATCTCTTTGAGTTAGAGGCCAGCCTGGTCTACAGTGAAACAGTGTCTCAACAAGAAAAGAAGGAAGGAAGCGGGGGGGGGGGGGGTGCTGGAGAGATGGCTCAGAGGTTAAGAGCACTGGCTGCTCTTCCGGAGGACCCGGGTTCAATTCCCAGCACCCACATGACAGTTCACAACTGTCTGTAACTCTGGTTTCAGAGGATCTGACACCTCTATACCAATGTTAGAAAGAAAGAAAGAAAGAGAAGAAAAGATAAAGTTAAGGCCAGAGATAGACCAGCCCTGCTCCAGATAACACCAAGGTCTGGCTAGTAGCAGGTGTATGGAGAATGGAGATGTCACAACTCCTGTCTCTGGCTTCTTTCTGTCTGTATGCACTGGAGGAATTTGTAATCATTCTGAGCTGGGCAGAGTGTCCCCCAGCAGGAGACTGGGGGGAGTATGGAGGGGGGCATGCCATGGTGACAGGGCTTGTTGGCCTTAGTCACATGCTGGGCAGATGTTCCAGACTGAGCTGGGCCCAGCTGCCTCTAGTTTCCTCTCTCACTTTGCTCTGAGGGGGTTGGAAAACAAGGCCTCTTTTTCTGCCCTGGGCAGCTACCAGAACCTGGGATGGGGGTTGGGACCCCTGGGTTCCCAATCTTGGCCCAGCCCTGGAAAAGGAGTCTGCTTTGTGCTTATTTAGAAATGGGGGATGGAGGCAGACCTGAGTCTCGGTGCCATGACTGTGGCACTGCAGCCTCAGACCCAGTCCCTTGGTTGTAGATGTCCTGCCACAAACAGACACAAATGCACAGTCATATACTTGTCCAAAGTCTACACATGGCCACTCACATAATCAGATCTTGATCACTCTGTCATACTCTGTATTCACAGCTATGAGCACACGTGTTTGCAGATATGTCTCAGCCACTTTGCTATGTAGTCACAACAGTCCTTTGCACACAATAACACTCTTACATAGCCAGAGTTATTAGAGTCTCAAGAGAGATTTGAGGGACAAGCAGCCCAGAGGTTCCATGTCCCAGATCAGATGCAGAACAAGTTACAGGTGCCACATACAGGCATGTACTCTAGGGGGTCTGGATGTCTAGTCAGGATGGACCCACAGCACCAAGTTCAACTTACTCAGAATAGTGATCCTAGTCCTAGCGAAGATGGTACCTGGCAGGGTGGGGGATGCTCTGGGGCCAGAGCCCAGTTCTGGACAGACTGGCCATGTTCATTCTGAGCCAATCTTGAGGACCAGGCTGTTCTGAAGGCCCCTGGCTGAACCCACCAGCCACAGCTCTAAGCTTTGGAGCATCTCTCATCTGTAGCTGAGTTGCTGTGTCTAAGGCAGAAGGGAGAAGGAGCCAGGATGCAGTGGGCAGGGCCCTTGTGTGGACTGAAGGAACATTCCTGTACGAGGTCTTCCCATACCATGTGTGGACTGGGCCTGCCCTGCCTGCCCTGCTGACTCAGACCTCCAAGAGCCAAGCCTGACAGACTGCTCTCACCCACACCAACCTGCTTCCTTACCACTGCCCCCACTCCCCTCTCTACCACTGGGACAGGTGGAGACTATTAGCCCTAGCAACAGGACTGTATGTGAAGGTCAAAATCTATCCTCCCCAGACTAAGCTCAGAGGCTGATTGCAAAACCCAGCCCCGGGGATCTACATAGTTCAACATAAACTTTTTTCCTCTAGTTTGGTTTTGTTAGTTAAACCCCAGTGCAGTCTGTTCTATTTAAAAAGCAGTGTCTGACACATAGCTGTGGCCTCCCAATTCTACCCGCTGGTCATTCCAGACACTGAGACTTGGCCAGAGGGAAGATGGATTTGCCCAGGCAGGGCTGGTCTTGAACCCAACTCTGGCTCCATTCCTTGAAGTTGTGCTGATGAATTCACTGAGGTCTAAAGGAAGCAGGGAGCAGATTGAAAGATCCCTGGAAGGATCAGGCCCCCAGGATCTCGGTCCAGGAACTCAGCCACACCAATCACCAGGCGGAGTTGAAAGCTTGATGCAAAGTGCACGAGGCTTTATTATAGTTGTTTAATGAGCTAACCCCATGTTAGCTTGGGTCTTTCATCCACCTGCCATGGTGGATGGCTAGGAAAGACAGCTCGAAGAGTCTGCATAGAGATCTTATAGGGCAGTGTAAGGAGAGTGTCTAGGGGTACACACAGGCTCAGGATTGGTGTGTCTCCAGGCTTGGAGGGTTTGCCCTGTGTTGATTGGTTAACTGGTTGTTATGGCCCATAGGCCCTCCCAGGGTGGTTGCTATGCTCTGTGTGTCATTGCTGTGCACTTGTCCGTAAAGCACACCCAGAGCCATAAAGCATAGCTCCACCAGCTAAATTCTGATTGGTTCCTTGTCACGAGGCAGGCATCTGACCTCCTAGTGACTAAGACAAGGTCAGACAAGCACGTGTTTGGCTGTTATGGCTGCCGAAATGGGGAGCTGGTCCCTTCAAGATCCCTGCTTCACAAGTGTGGCTGGAATAGCAGGTTGGTGAAATGTGAGAGGCTTGAGGATGGGTGAGGCCCAGGAGTCCCTGTTTACCACCCCTCCACACCCCTCCAATCCCACCCCAGGGATAAAAAAACTAAAGACAGCTCTACGTGGTGACATCTTCGAGCCTTGGGCTGTTTACAAATGGAAGTAACAGAGGAAGCTAACCATTTTGTTTTATGTTTTTGTCTTGAGACAGGATCTTAAACTGTAGCTCAAACTGTCCTTGAACTCACAGCCATTTCTCCTTTCTCGGGCCTCTAAGTGCTGGGTGTCCAGGTGTGAACCATCACACCTCACTCAGCCTGCCTTCAGTCTCTCTCTATTCTTCCACCTGATAGAAAAATAATCTCAAATAACTTGGAGGAAGTCCCCTTTTCCAGGGGTTGTGTATAAATTTTGGGCTTGACATATTTGAAGATATTTTGTAGGCCGCTGGCAGACTGGCTTTCAAAGGCTGAACCCCACATGTTCAAATTTGTTCCCCATTAAAAGATTAGGTTTATTATTTTACAATGTTTCCACCTGTAGAGATTATTATTATTAGTTTTTTTGAGACAGGGTTTCTCTGTAGCTCTGGCTGTCCTGGAACTCACTTTGTAGACAAGGCTGTCCTTGAATTCAATGAGATCCACCTGCCTCTGTCTCCCCAGTGCTGGGATTAGAGGCATGTGCCACCACACCCAGCCACCCGTGGAGATTTAATTTAAAAATCTACTAACTTTGACTTTGTTTTTATCTTTTTTTTCTCCTCTTGTTGCTCTTTTCTTTGTCCCTGCTCTAAATGCCAGTGCTGTTGGTTGTTTCTTGTAGAACTGACCCTGGCATTGTGCTTGCAGCTG